ATGGGTGATTGCATGACATCGGTGATTAAGAAACATTATTGACTACAGATCCAGAATTAGAATTACACAAGGCAGGAAAAAAAGAAAGAAAAAACTATTCCTTTACAGGAGGATCATGATTTGGCTGTTGTAGGATCATCAACTGGATGCCAAAAACGATTATAAAGCCACAACTTATCAGCTTCCACAGCATATCCTTCTTGATTACGATGCCAACTATAATAAGCATGAGTTCTATTCTTGATATCAAGAGTAGCATGACCAAAACTAGCCTCTCGAAATGCAGAGTACTCTGGCTGTGGCTGTCATGCTGAAAAAGGTGTTAAAAAAAATATCTATCAGTAATCTGTCACTGATGCAACTAGAACAGATGAAAACCGTTTGCTCGTAGTTTTCGTAGTTGCAAGAATTTCTTTTTTCGGATGTCAATTGGTGTTCAGTGTACCTACCGCGTATCTAGTTTATGCTTTATATGAATATCTCAATGTTCAAGATTACATTAAAGAACGAGGGGATTCGAGTTGGATCAATCTTACCTATTGGCTAGGCCTTCAATATTTCCACCATCACCAATTGTTATGTATATAGGGGCAGACTGATCACGAACTGGAGTGCATTTTCCATTAACAATGTTGTAAGCCACATTGGATACGCGTTCCTGAAAAACAAAACAAAGTAAACCTTTTGTATGACAGATATCACTATGACTTTAGCTGCATAATATTGGTGCATGACATACCGATCTCTCATAAGCATGAACATGACCTGCAAAAACAACATCAACTTTGTACTTCACAAACTATGGCTCATACATTACTCTCATGGTCTCCCCTTCCGTATAGTGATAGTTGTAGCTGTTACACCACGGCGAATGCAATAGAACAATCAGCCATGGTGTCTCGCTCCTGTTAACTTTCGGTAGCTCTTCATAAAGCCATTGATATTGTGGAGTGTACATGCCTATAATCGAGAACACGAAGAAAACTTCATATAAAAGAATTGGATATTTAATTGCTTCTGCTATTAAAAGGAAATGAACTCATACTTTTTAGGAACCAAAGCAAAATGCTAACAAAAATTATGACCTCACTAAAATGCTAAAATAACACCACTCATTTAATCTAATAAAAGACCTACTTCCTGGACTCATGTTAGAAGAACAATTCTTCAAGAGTGAAAAGGCACAAGATCTTGAATATATTTTCTGGCCAAATATAACAACAATGTCTGTACTATATGCAGCATGTTTATCTTCCAACACCATAATCAGCCATAGAATCTTAAATAGCTAAAGTAAACAGACATTGCACTGTTCATAAGTATGTATGACAATAATCTGTGAAATGTCAATACTCTTACCATAAGCTGAATATGAGGACAAAACTATGATGTATGCTGATGCTCTCTTGATTGAATACCAAAAGGGAGTTGTACTGTTTGATGATTTATAAGGGACACGATATCGATGAGTATAGGGCTTAAATGGTTTTGTTTCCCCCTGCAGAAAAGTCACCAACATATTTGTTAGAATTTCCCTGTAAAATCATAAAGGTAAAACGTCCAAGAGCACCTGAAATCCACTTCAAGTTAAAGAAAATTGAATTTGCATGACTCACAATTTCAGGAGCAAAATCTATCTCATGATTCCCTGTTGTCCATATCCAAGGTTGATAAGCAACACTTCTCTCTACAAACCTTCCCCATGTATCCCATCTTGTGTTGTCATGATTAGGATAGTTATCTGCATAAGATAAGTCGCCAACAAACAACACTGTCTGCCCCTTGATTGGATTTAATTCATAATGTGTGAGTGTCCTATTTGAATCAAAACTCTGACCAAGATCCCCTGTAAGATAAATGCAGCTTAGATTGGGAAAAAGCCATAGAAATGGCAGGAACAAAGTTATTTTTTTGTTACATGGTTGAACCTCTTTTTTTGTCCTTATCATTTTTCCATGAACTATCAATGCACAATGAAATTGATACTAAACCAGGTTCAGGATTTGGATTTTGAAGCATAGTTTGTGAATAATACTCATGTAACAAAGTTCATTCACCAAAGTTAATTTAGTACTATCACTCAATCCTAGATACCGAGTATAGATGATATTATATGCTTCTCCCTCATTTTAATTAGTACCCTTGAGAAAGCACAGTGAACCTCAAAATCACCACTGAAGGATTAAAAGAAGCCGAAATTGCAGTGCTAACATAATTAGCTCAAAAAGAATTAAATTGTAGAGCAATAGTTTGGTTGAAATGGTTACCTTTAAGTCCAAAAGTATAAGGAACATCAGGGCCAACTTGTGGAGGAGTCACAAACCAAAAGGTTCTTGGATTATGACCGATCCCCACCTCATAGTAATATTTGGTATTGCACTGCAAAATGTTGTGTTTATACCGTTACAAAAGGTAGATATGATGTATGCTATATAACAATGGCACGATGCGGCAATGGAGAATAACTAAATGTAGAAACCAAAGTTATTCCCTAAGATTTAAGATTGGAAGAAAGAAAGAAGGTTTGATTCACCTTCAAATGCTTAATAATGCAGTGGTGGATGTAACCAGAAGTATAATTGTAGAATCTGTAGGTAGTAACAGTTCCCTTGGCCTTATTCTTTTGCTTGCTGTTGTTACTCCAGTATAAAACTGTACTTGAACCAGGTTCATCCATTGTCACCCATGAGACAATCATTGCTTTCCCCACATGATCACCTTGTGTTATGTGAACCTTAACAAAATAACCCAACAAAATCAATATAAAATAAGTAAAGTACTAAATTCCATTAATAATAAGAAGAAGAAAAAAAAGCTAGCAAAACCAGCAAATATAATAGAAAAAGGGCATTTCCCATCCATTTAATTAAGTAGGCAAACATGAAAAATGCATTTCCAGCATTCAACAGCTCATAGCAAGCTCTAACTCAAATCTTCAGGAAACCTGCCTTCGACTCAAATACGGACATTGTTGCAAACCAACTGGCTCCCATTCAATGAAAAGTACAAGACATGAAAAAACGCAAAGAGATGGAGACATTGAAATAACCTGCTGAGGTGCATTATAGCCAGGAGGCACACTAAAGACATCACTGTCCATAGGCATATCAAGGGTCTTCTCAACTTTCCTAACAAAACTGCTTGTAGTTCCACCTCTACATAAAATGGGAGCACTGATTATCAAACCCAAAACTGCAAGAATAAAACTTGTTCTTGGCACACCCATTTTTGTTCTGTACAACAACAACTCTCTGTTTAACACTAGTGACGGTATCATTCCCTCGCCTATATATATGCGATTTTGGCAAGTGTTAATCTACCAGATTATGGGTATAAGCTACTAAAATTACGGGGAATATTCTAGTTTGTGAATGTGTCAAGCGGTTTCAGTATTCTACGCTTTCGCTTGGCGTTTTTATCTTTCCTTTAACACGAGTACGAGTGGGAAATCGACGAAGAAGGACTAGAATTACAAGACTTGCTAATTATAAGTCACGGGAAAATTGCTTCCTTTTCATTTATGAATGGGCCCCTACGCAGATACTAATAAGTCATTTAGAAAAAAGTTTGAAAATGGTGTGAAAACTGTTATTTCAATTAAAATATTTTTTATATAAGTAGTTTAATATTTTATTGATATTTGTAAATATTAATGGCCAAACTAGTATCCGCAAATACTGAAATACTTATTTATGGCCAAATGAGATCTTTTCCATTTCACACAACCAATGGTCTGAAATAAAAAGTTTTTTCTTTCTCTAGCATCCTTACGTGACTTCGAAACAAATAATTTTATATATTTTTTCCGTTTTATTTTATGTAATCCCAGAGTTTAAGGAATTATGGAAAACTTATGCAAGTCAGATATATTCAAAGTTTTAAAAGTATCCTTTAAATAAGTGTTGGGTGAAGGGTCAAATGGTTTGGTAATTCCTCATGAGGGGATGAATCGAGAGAAATTTGAATCAGAGCTTTGGATTTTTGTTCATCCTTTGCCGTAATAATATCTCGGGGTGAGAATTTCATATGTCTTATCATTTTAAATGAACTAGTTTCTCGGCACGTGTGTTGCACGTGTATGCTGAATCATGTAATATACGATTTTGCAAAATAGTATCAATATTATTGAAATAAAGTTTTGTAAAGGTTTACACATGAAAGAATAAGCATAAGTTTTGTGAATGATCAATGTGGATCGTTATTTGGTAGCTTATATGTCAAAATAAAAATGATTGGATATTGAACAATCAAAGTTTATTTTGATACTTATATTTTTCTTTCATTTATTTTTATTTTATAAGGTATAAACATGTAATGAAACGTATCTTACTTAAGGCTTCCTTTCATCTATTTTCATTGCTATGTCATAATCGAAACTCCTCATCGATATTGATAGCCGTCTCGAAAGTGCAACAATCTCTATAAAAGATTACCAATCCTTAATTTTTTGAGGAATTTGATCTTTTTGACATTTCGAAGTAGAAGGGGATAAGATCCTTGCCGAATCGAAGTTATTCATTTTATTCGTTACTGGATCCCCTACTATTACTATTCAAGACGAAAAGAGGATTGAATCGCATACGGAAAGATCATGGGGCTAAGGCGGAGGCATTATTGGGGGAGACGAACACTACAAGAAAAAAGGCCTTAAGCGAGGGAAAATTCGGTCGCTACAAGTCCAAGTCCAGTCGTTATTAATTATTTACGACCAAATAAATTATGATCGTCACCGGTCGTTAAAAGCTCCGACGTTAATAGTACACGACCGGATTGGAATCCGGTCGTTAAAAACCTTTTAGCGACGACAACAAATCCAGTCGTTATTCCTCTTTTTAGAGGCTGAATTTCCCTTCGCTAATTGTTATTTTTTGGTCACTAAAACATCAGTAACGGAAACAAACTCAGCCTTTGTAAGTGCTCTTAGCGACCAGAATCTTTTTCATTAATTGTATAAATAACGACAACTAATATTGTGACATCCACACAGATATCCAAACACATACAAAAAGTCAATACTCATATAAACATCATTGTTGATTACAAAAGATTAGAATATCACATTACCAAAAATATACTTATCTAAATTGTACTAACATTATTTTATTCAACTCCTAAAAAAAGAAAAAATAGAACTATAGCATATACAAACAGCAATATCTTTAAAAAGTCCTTCGCAAAACAAAGTGGGTTCCTCTTGTACTTCAATTTATTCTTTAACATTTCTCATCTGCTTCAACTCGCTCTACACTATCTTCAAGAAAGCTTCATGTCTTCAAATTCTTGATCTGTTAAAAGAAAAAGTGTATGTTACTGCATTACTTCAACAATTAGGAAAAAGATTAAAAAGGTGTTGCATCAATTTACTTGTGGAAGCATTGACATTGCATGAAACTTTAGTCATGCAGAAACATACAGGAGTAGAGTATTGTGCAGAAATACAAAATGACGTGCAGAAATACCGAATGTTGTGCAGAGATGAAGAACGATTTACAGAAATGCATAAAATTGTGCAAAAATACTAAAATGCAGAAATGCTATCCAGAAATGCAATAACACTGTAGAAATGACAAATGCTATCACTTGATAAATAATAAGTAGAGAGTCTAAGAGTGAATTAGGGATTACTATTGACAATCTACCACAAATGGAATTTACTTTAGGAAGAAAAAACTTCAGTGGTAAGAGTACGAAAGCTTTGTCTCTCTTGGGAACCATAGCTCACAGTAAGATATCAATGACAAAATTCTTTCCCTTCTTTTTGCTGAAAATGCTGGCATTTACAAAAAGTTCTTTCCCTTTGTCCATAAGATCATCTTCCATTATTTTCTCAAGGCTTATAATGTTTGTAGTTCTGAGATTGATTGGAGTTGGAATCTAATTTACAAGTTTAGAATGGACTACAATGTAAAGTTTATAGGAGTAATATTAAATGGAAGATTAACAAAGATATGATCAGGGACCTTAATAGTCAGAGATAGGAAAGAAATAGTCAGAGTGCAAATGATATAGGAAAAACTTATAGTTGGACATAATATCACTTCATGGATGTCATTAAATAGGAGAAATTACAGAAAAAGACTTTAATTGTAACCCATGGATAAGGATTCATGCTAGTGTCTTTCACTTTGGATAGCTAATGAAAAAAACCTATCAACTACACCTATATATTAATGCAAGCATTTAACATTCTTGAACTGATAGTGAAACAGAATAAAAAAGACATACCTGAAATGGTATTTATCCTCACAAACAACAATCACGAAGTAAAAATGGTGAACTAATGTCTGCACGAATAACAACTACTACCTCCTGGGAGTGTTGAGCATCGACTGCAAAGAAATTCAAGCAACTTGTGCCTCATGGGAATGTTGAGCAACTTCTGCCTTCTTCACCTTCACTTCTTGATATGAGCTGATAGCTATACTCAATGCAGATAAATTGTTAAACAAGTGAAGCAACAAAAGAACAAAAAATAAACCATCTTCTCTAAGAACTCACCAACACAGAAAAAATAATTTCCTTTTAAGAGGAGAAAAAAAGAACATATTGAGAGAGGTAGAATAAAAATACTGTTATACCGAATTAATTATTATTTTGAGCTTTTCATCACAAAGTAAGCAAGAATGAAGATGTGATTTACTTCACAAATAAAAGCACATAATTTTAGAGGAGGTAATTTATTGTTAGGGAAGTAGTGTGAAACATGCAACCGCTTTACTTGTTACTTGTTACTCGAAACATGTGATATTCAGTTGATATCTTTATTGCAAGCTGTATCAAGAGAAATTAATGTTCTTATTATGTGTTTAGTAAGTTAAAAAAACAAGATGCTAAAAGATCACGTCTCTAAGCGAATCTTAGATGTAGTCCCTTTATACTTAAACCAATATTATTACCAAAAGATTTAAATTATATATGTACTAATATGAAAAAAAAACACATACCAAAAGTATTCTTATATCATGTACATAGACTCCGAGTGGATCTAAATGAGTATATAAAATTTATATATCTCTAATTAGTTTAGAATTAAAAAGTAATTAGCTTTTTTTCTCATATTTCTATCCTTAGTGCTGGCCTAAAAGATATTCCCTGCCAAAATCTCATCCACATTCAATGCAAGAGACTTTAAAAATATCCAATGAAAAGGATACCATGAAGGTAAAATTCCAACAATACTCAAGGGTGCACTCACCAGAAGACTTCTTAGTTTACATTCCAGTTATTGTAGTTAATTTAATAAGAACACAGACTCAGACTCAACACTAGGTTTACAATTAGAAAATAAATGTTACAGTCACACTCAAAAATGGTTAAAGTGTATAGGTTAGTAGGACAACAAGCATTTCTCATTCTGCTGCACCTAGAAGCAATGAATTCTTTAGACTCATGAAATATTTGTGAGCACTTGTAACTTAGATCACCTACTCTGTCCTGGCTTTTCATTAACTAGCTTCCTCAACGTTAGATTGTATTAAGTACCATCAATTTACTCTTTGATATACCTAGTTAAATTCATCCAGCACTTAGACGCATCGTTTGAAAACTCAAAGTTCATATATTGATATTAGATCTTCAAGTAATGACAAGAGCTTTATAGAAATGTAAAGTCCCCTGTATTTTAGTTCATCCAACTAGTGATAATTCTTTAAAAATCATTATGTCTTCATGGTTATATCCTTAGTCATATTTGCAGCGAAAAGCTCAAAGATAAAGACCAATTTATAGAAAAACTACATGAAAAGGAAAAAAAGATCACCCCTTACTATATTTATACCTATTTCTCCTTCACCTCATATACCAAATAAAGGTCTATACTTAGGTCAATAAACAACAAAAATTAAAGAAAACTACAACTCTGGGCAGGTTTAATCCAGCATAACTAGACATTGAAAAAGATAGTATTGGGAAACATTAATATTCTAAGAAGAAATCCAAATTACTTGACAAACACTAAGAAAAGCAGAACAATACCATCAAACCGAGATACCATTGGACAATAAAAGAATACCCAATTCCACTCAATAGTTACATGGCAGGTTTAGGGATTTGGTATAAACATACCTTGATAAGAAGAAAATTCTTAGACGAGCAGTCGATGATAATGGAGGAGACGGGCTGTATTTTTACTTCGAAGAAGTTTACTCCAAGATGGGCAATCGGAGGAGATGGCGCAGGTGGTGAGCAGTTTTCTTCATTCTTCCAATTGAAACAAGCATTTTTTGATCCAAGATTAGGGATTTTCTTTTGAGGGTTGGGTGGTTGGGTTTGGTTGCGCGTAAGAAAAGAGGGAAAAAGTTTGTGCTTGTTTTTATTTAATAAATTACTTTTAACGACGAAATATTATACTTTTTAGGATAAAATAGTTTCCCCTTGTTAATGTTGAGATTAAAAATTGACTTTAACGTCTTGAAAAAAGTTGGCCGCTATAAGTTCACGTATAACGACCGGATTCATGTCCCTTCGTTAAGAAATTATCGTTAAAAATCAAGTTTCTTGTAGTGGAAGTATTAAATTGGAGTTTTTCTCTGAACCTTGATGGAAAATCATAGATTTCTGATAGGAAAGAAAAAGTCTAATTACTAAAAAAAATTCATATACACGAGCGTGCGTGGTAAAATCTTTGATCGTACATACACTGGACTTTCAATTGAGCTGATCGCCGTATATGGTTCGAGGAGGTATATAAATCCTCTGTTTAGCTAGAGAAAGTCTTCTGGCCATCGTCTTACCTCGTGCTGACGGAACCTTCTCACATAATTGGCCATGTGAGAATACATGTTGACATACATACAATCCACCATTAGAGATTATTTGATCATGTGCTTAGTTTATCGTTATTGCAAAACGTAAACATACAAAAAAATTATTTTTCGGATGAGTTTGAAAGAATATCTTTCATTATATTAGGAGAGAAAATTGAATTCTTAGAATAATTTAGTAGCAAATTCACTCGTTGTAATTTTTGCATGTAGGAAATCGTTTTTTTTTCCTTCTAAATTCACCATCATTTTCAGTAAAATCTGCCCATAAAGTAATAGTTATTTGATCATATCTATAATTCAAAATTAGAAATTTCATCAACTTATTATCCATATCGTATGTTAATGATTTTTTTCAATGAAACTCGTGTGATTTTAACTTACTTTCATTTATAACTATTATTATTATTATTATTATTACTTCTATTCTCTAGCTCCGTCATTTTCTAATAAGTGTTTTCACTATTGCTAACATGGAAAGTACATGCGAAAAGTATGAGATTAAAATTAGTGATAATTTGATGCAATATTAAATCTGTACTAATAGCACAAAGCATTAAATAAAATTCATATCAAGTATATATTTATACTAATATAATGTCACATAAACAACTACGATACAAATAATTTTCCGTAGCACATATATTAATAATTGGACTCATCACAGATACATAGTTATATATTTACATATATACACACATGTATATATATATTTATGACAACAATAAAGTTACTAAATAATTTTATAACTTTAATATGCTAGGTTAATTGTCAGTATCTTTTTAAAACAAAGTAGATTACCCAACGTGAAGCATTATTGGTTTTGACTCATTTTCATGAATGAATGCTAATCGAAAGACACGTTAAATTATAGTAAGTATTATTTTAGTTGCATAAAATTAAGAATCAAAAAATAGTATTGCTATGACTAAGCAAGCCAATAATAATTATACAAATCATAAGTCAATATTCAAGGAAAATAAAAGGGCTGAAAAACTCCATAGAAACTTATCTGCTGAGAAGGTGTCGTATCACAAATAGATGTGAACCAAAACCATCAACTTTTTTCTTTTTTAATCTCAATTGTGTTTCCAGAGTTTAGGCTTTAAGTTTATTTTTTATTTTATAATTTCAATTGATATGCCCACAAAAAACGGTTGCCTTTAGATTTAAAGATTGGGAAAAGTCATCACCTTTACTAATGTGAAGGATCACAACCCTTCAAATAAATTTGGTGTTTATTTAAATTTTTTGGTAAAAACAAGGTATTTAAATTACTTAGAAGGGCATTTAGGTAATTTAAATTTTTAGTTAAGAGAGAGAGAGAGAGAGAGTGTGTGTGTGTGTGTGTATATATATATATATATTTCATTGTTAATGTCCAACATTTTAACATTCACAACTCTTCAGAATAATTTTGTCCTTATTTCTATTTAAAAATTATGATTTTTGTAAAATAAGTAGGGTAATTAAACTTTAAAAGGGTAAAAAAGTAATTTAACTTTTGACTTAAAGGCTTCCCACTTTTAATATAGTACTAGTCTCTGTGTACATGCCTCGCACGTGTAACAATAGGCGTGCGTAATAATTAACATAAATTTGTGAATATACTGATTAACAGGAAAGTGTTAATCTCATGCACCTTATGATACAAAAGATTGCTACTATTAGCTAATTCATTTGCTTATCACTATAGTTTTCTTAATTAAATGGAGAAAATGGACAAGGAAGATTTTCATTCACATGAGAAGACTTGATAGATTGAATCATGAAATTTTGCTTCGTGTTGTGTCTTTTTACTATATGAAGAAGGAGAAATATTTGGTCACCTTGAAATTTATCTAGACACGTTATCGCTTCGTAATATGTTTCCACAATATGTTGTAATAGTTTGCAAATTTTGCCCTTTCCAATAGTACACTACGTATAAATATTTCGTAATAATTTAAATATTTGGTTTAATAAAAACTTATACATTGGTTGTTGGATGTTAAAAAATTACCTTGTTGTTTATTTTGGAGTATTAGTTAAAGGTTAATGTCTGTAAATTGCATTGCACTATAATTGATCACATAAATTTGTCAAATCGCTTCTGGCTTATATATCCAACGCGCAAAATTAACTTCTAATTTTATCAACAATTTTGTTCCCGTCATCTGACTAATATAAACAACACACCTTCATTCATTTTTTTAAAGCTTAATTTCGTGAAAATCATAAACTTACCCACGAATGATGAAATTCTGGCAACAGAAAAGGAATGGTACCTTATACTAAACAGAAAGGGAGGTTCAATCGCATGTACCGTCTTACCGTCTTATGGCTCATCATGTAATTGGATTATGGTATCTCCTATGATCATACGTTGAGTTGGTTTTGTTCTAAATTATCTTTTTTTTTGGATCGTAAATATAAACTTATATAATTAGTGATTGGAGAAGTATAATTAATTAGGGAAGTGGAGTAATTTTGAACACCATTGGATGTATGTGAACATAAATATGCATGGCTATTGATTATATATTTTTTGTGTATATTTTACGTGCAAATCTTTAGAAGAGATAATTATTGGTTATCCGTTCTAAAATCTTTTAGTGTATGTAANATGTGTGTGTGTGTGTGTGTGTGTGTGTGTGTTGCTTTGTTTTTATGTGCAGTACTATAGAAGAGACAATTATTTGGTCAAAAGACAACACAAATTAATATGAGAAAACCGTTGCCTTTTAATTTGTTTGCAAAGATATAAGCTTTACATTTAATTTCTTTTTGGTCATACTCCAATGTTTGAATTCCATAAAATTAACATCAGAAAAAGTTTTATTATTACAATTTTATTTATCCATATATATGGAATTGTATCTTGATGACATAAAATATTCTTGGAAGAACAAGCAACCGAGCAAGTTTATCCATCATGGAATTGTATTTTGAAGACAAAGTATCTTTTGAATAGTAAGCAACCGAAATTTCCTAATCAAGTTTCAATCCTCTCATAATAATAAATAGATCACAGCAAATCTGTATCTTTATCTGCATATAACCACAATGCAATACATTAATAACTAAGACTTAATATAATGTGTTACGCACGCAAAAAGAAAAATTCAGGATAAAGAAGACCAAAATTGAAAGAAAGACATGACTTTGATTACACTCTCTTGAACTACAGAAGACATATAATTAAAGTTTCTATCTTTCATCATAAAATAGTGTATTTTATGGTGGCATGAAATTAAAATGTTTTACAATAAAAATAAAGTGAAAAACTAAACCTGCGTTAAGTTGACGGTGAATTTAGGACATTTGAAGATAGTTGGAGTGCCGTGAAGAGTAGGGGTATACAAACCGAACCGAAAAATCGCACCAAATCGAAAAGTCAAACCAAACTGATTAAAAAATCCGACTTGGTTTGGTTTGATTTGGTTTGGTATTGAGTAAAAAAACCCGAACCAACCCGACATATAAATATATAATTTTTATATATACTTTTAAGATTTTATATAGAATTTACTTTAAAAAATATCTAGAAATATTTGGAATTCTCTTACGGGATATAGTATTTAATAAAATATGAAGTGCTCCATATTTATTAACCGTAAATAATGGGTTGTATGATCACTTTCTTATCGAATGTTACTAAATGCGTCAATCTCTTTGTTCTTCCATATATTCATATCATATGTTAAGATCTATTAAATTCTTATATCTTTTTCGAATGTGAAGTGATTATTAATATTTAGGTATCATATTAATTTTTACGTTTAATTACTAAATTCGGTTAACCTGAAAGCAACAAAAAATTATAGTCAGACGACTAAAAAAGTAACTATTATGTGTTACTAATAGAATTCTCCCATAAGAATATTTTAATCGATAATATGTTTGTCAATTTTTTATATTTTTACTAAATATATATTTACTTATCAAATATTTAACAAAGTAAGATTGAAATAATATTTAAGTCACAAAAAACCCGAAAACCCGAAAAACCCGACAAAACCAAACCAATCCAAACCGATATAGTTGGTTTGGTTTGATTTTGATAAAAATCGAACCAACCCGGTCCATGTACACCCCTGATGAAGAGTATTACAATATATTGAATACTTCAAAAGCTGCTCTTGAAATCAAATAAATACTGGCAATTGCGGCGGTAGTGATTTAGCAATTCAAAGTTTTTAATTTTTTTAATTGATTTGAAATCCTAATTATTAGATAGTGTTAAAGATCACTATTTTATCCTATGTAGGGTATAAATCGGTTAATATTTCAAGGGTATAAATATATTTACTATCCCTTTTTCAAATATAACTCATACATTATGTAAGTCTCCCAATCTAACACAATTATGTATTTGTTTATAATTAGGAACAATTATGGCTTGCTGGCTGGATTAGCTAGCTTCAAGGCGCTTATTTGAAACAAAGTATAGAGAGAATTTAAGGTTATCACACTTTATTGTGATGATTTATAGACAACCGGGGTATCAGCGTACTTCACGGCTAACTGAAGCCAGTGCAGATAATTCCTTTTCCGAATGAAAGC